GGCCACCTAGAATTTCTGCCATTCTCACCTAAGGTTCTGATCTTTTGCAGGGAACAGACCTGGGTATGGGGGAGAAAGAATTGGGAAAATGGGAGGGAGAGAGTGAGAGAGATGTGGGAAGAGAGGAGAAAAAAAGAACTGGTTAAGTTTGAAAAAATCACAGGTCAGTGCTGGAAGAAAAAACATTTGGTCTGGGCTCTTTATTTAAAATATGAAGAAACGGGCACCTGGCCGGCTCAGTTGGTGGAATGTCCAACTCCTGATCTCGGGGTGATGGGTTCAAGCTCCATGTTGGGCGTAGAGCCTACTTAAAAAAAAAATAAAGTAAAACATGAAGAAACTGAGACCCAAAGAAGGAAATGTCTCATCCAGAATTACCTAGAAACTTAGTAACCAAGAAGGGTCTGGAACTGTGTTGTTCAATGTGGTAGTCCCTACCCATATATGGCTGTGGAGCACTTGAAATGTGGCTAGTCTGAATTGACTGTAAGTGTAAAATAACCATCAATTTCAAAGACTGTGTGTGGAGACAAAGGAGGCAAAAATATGCAATGGGAAAAAGATAGTCTCTTCACTAAATGGTGTTGGGAAAAGTGGACAGCTACATGCAAAAACGGAGGAGGAGGAGGAGGAGGAGGAGCAGGAGGAGAAGCTGGGCCACTTTCTTACACCATACATGAAAATAAACTCAACATGGGTTAAAGACCTAAATGTAAGACCTGAAAGCATAAAATTCCCAGAACATAGGCAGTAATCTCTTTGACATCAGCCGTAGAAACATTTTTCTAGATATGTCTTCTTCGGCAAGAGAAACAAAAGCAAAATTAAACTATTGGACGACACCAAAATAAAAAGCTTCTGCACAGCAAAGGAAACCATAAACAAAACAAAAAAACAACCCACCGAATGGGAGAAGATATTTGCAAATGATATATCCAATAAGAGGTTAATAAGTAAAATAAAGAACTTATACACTCAACACCAAAAAAATCTGAATAATCTAATTTATTTTGTTTTAAGATTTTTATTTATTTGACAAAGAGAGACACAGAGAGAGAAGGAACATAAGCAGGGGGAGTGGGAGAGGGAGAAGCAGGCCTCCCGCAGAGCAGGGAGCCTGATGCAGGGCTCGATCCCAGGACCCTGGGACCATGACGTGAGCTGAAGGCAGATGCTTAACAGCTGAGCCACCCAGGCGCCCCCTGAATAATCTAATTTAAAAGGGGCAGAAGACATGAACAGATCTTTTTCCAAAGAAAATGACCAACAGTTACCTGAAAAAATGCTTAACATCACTAATCTTCAGGGAAATGCAAATCAAAACCACATCCCACTTGTCAGAATGGCTAAAATAACACAAGAAGTAAGTGTTGGTGAGGACATGAAGAAAAAGGAACTCTCATGTACTGTTGGTGGGAACGCAAAGTGGTGCAGCCATTGTGGAAGACAGTATGGAGGTTTCTCAAAATATGAAAAGTAGAATTACCATACGATCCAGTAATTCCACTACTGGGTATTTACCTAAAGAAAACAAAAACACTAATTCGAAAAGATATATGTGCCTCTACGTTTACTGCAGCATGATTTACAATAGCCAAGATGTGGAAGCAACACAAGTGTCCACAGATAATGAATGAATAAAGAAAATGTGATATATATGCACGGTGGAATATTACTCAGCCATAAAAAATGAAATCTTGCCATTTGCAATAGCATGGATGGATCTAAGGGTATAATGCTAACTGAAATAAGTCAGTCAGAGAAAGACAAATACCATATGATTTCACTCATGTGTGGAATTTATGAAAAAAATGAACAACAACAAAAAAGGAAGACAAAAAACCAGACTTTTAACTATAGAGAACAAACTGGTGGTTACCAGAGAGGAGGTGGGTGGGGGGATGGGTGAGACTGGTAAAGGGGATTAAGAGTAGACTTATCAGGGGGCACCTGGGTGGCTCAGTCATTAAGCGTCTGCCTTTGGCTCAGGTCATGATCTCAATCCTGTCCATTGCCCCCCCATTCCCCCCTTCCCTCCCCCCCATGGAGCCCCATATCCGGCTCCTTTCTCAGCAGGGAGCCTGCTTCTCCCTCTCCCTGTGCCCCTTCACCCCGCTTGTGCTCTTGCTCACCATCTCTCTCTCTAATAAATAAATAAAATCTTAAGAAAAAGGAGAGACTTGGGCGCCTGGGTGGCTCAGTTGGTTAAGCGACTGCCTTTGGCTCAGGTCATGATCCCGGAGTCCTGGGATCGAGTCCCACATCGGGCTCCCGGCTCAGCGGGGAGCCTGCTTCTCCCTCTGACCCTATCTCCTCTCATGCTGTTTCTCTCTCTCTCTCTCTCTCTCTCAAATAAATAAATAAAATCTTTAAAAAAAAAAAAAGAAAAGAAAAAGGAGAGACTACACTTATAACAAGCACTGAGTAATGTATGTAATTGTTGAATTACTATATTGTACACCTGAAACTAGTATAACCCTATATGTTATACTGGAATTAAAAAAAAAAAAAAAAGAAAAAAGAAAAAGATTGTCCGTGGGAAAAAATGTAAAATATCTCAATTTTTTATATTGATTACATGTTGAAATTATATTTTGATATGTTTAATAATATAATAAATATATTATTAAAATTAATTTCATCTGTTTCTTTTTCCTTTTTAAAAATGTGAAAATTTTAAATTACATATACAGCTCACATTATATTTTTGTTGGACAATGCTGGTCTGGAACCTGTATCTTCCAGAGTCGAGGTAAGCATCCATACTCTGCTTCCCAGGGTCTATTCTAACAAATCATTCACTTACCACTTATTATGTGCCAGTTGCTCAGGGGAGATCAAATTGCAGTCTAACTGAGGATAAAAACCAAAACACAGTAAAGGAAAACAAATGCTGGTAACTTCTATCTTATATACTTCCTAGAATGATGGTTCTTAACTCTACCAGCCCCAATGTTCCCTTTTAATAGCAAACTTTTTTTTAATAACACCTCCTTACTATTTTGAAATAAAGTTCATAGATGATATAACCTAACTACACACATAAATTAAAAAAAAAATTATTGTGTCTTAACCATAACAGAAAAAAAGGAGAGACTTGCCAGTAATTGTTATTTCACTATGCTAGAAAACATGATTAGTCATATGTTTGTACCTGCATATAGGATCACCTTGAACGTGACAGTACAAATACAGACAGAACGCCAGGAGGACACTGCTGTCTGTGATACAGTTCTCCAAAATAGTAACTTAGTAAATTCCTGAATGAAACGAAGTATTATCTTCCTTCCATTTACATGATACATTCCTTGAAAATTCTGCACATATTACAACCCTGCAAAATTACTTTGTTTTTATATATAAAACACAGGCTCTTGGGGCGCCTGGGTGGTGTCTGCCTTCGGCTAGGCTCAGGGTATGATCCTGGGGTTCTGGGATTGAGCTCCACATCAGGCTCTCTGCTCAGCGGGGAGCCTGCTTCTCCCTTTCCCTCTGCCTGCTGCTCCCCCTGCTTGTGCTCTCCCTCTCTGCCAAATAAATAAATAAAATGTTTTGAAAAATAAAGCACAGGTTCAAGGATTAGTTAATTATAACTTTTTTTTCCACTTACATGAACTTTTAGGAGAACATTTGAAAGCTGTGTGGGCTGGGTGATTTCCTCTTGTGTGACAGTCTTGCAAAGTGCAGGATTTGTAGCATTCTTGGCTCCTCCCGTCAACCATAAAACGAGATTGCCCCCCTCATACACTTGCAAATTGCCTATTAGGGATGTGCCTTCCCTGTTGGAAACCTGTTGTGCTCTTTGGAAGGCCCGGCCAGCCCTCCAGCCTCCCCTTGGGCTTTTTTTGCCTCTCTCATGGGACTTTAGCTGGCCCTGGCCTTCCCAGTTCTCTAGGGCAGTGTCTTTCCTCTTTCAGGTCCTATGTGCTCTGCTCTTTGCCCAGAAAACTCCTCTCCACTTTTTGCCTAGGTAACTTACTCAATCTTTGGATCTCAGCATTCCCAAATTCCCGATCTAATTTAATGCTTCCTGTCATGTTTTTCTGCTGGTCTCTACTTTCTGCAATGATACTTATGACAGGTTGTGATTTCCTTTCTACCTGTTCATATTTTTGGTATGTCAGTGTGTGTTTAATGTCTGTCTCTCTCAACCCTCAGCTCCCAAAGGGCAGGGACCATGCCCGCCTTGCCCACCACTTGTTCACTCAATTCTTTCTTTTCTTCTCTCTCTCTCTCTTTTTTTTCTCTCAAGATTTTATTTATTTGTGAGAGCGCACGCACAAACTGGAAGAGCAGCAGGCAGAGGGAGAAGCGGACTCCCTGCTGACCAACGAGCCCGATGCTCGATCCCAGGACCCTGCCATCATGACCTGAGCCGAAGGCAGACGCTTAAATGGCTGAGCCACCCAGGCGTCCCTCACTCAATACTTTCTTTTTTTTTCCTTTTTTTCTTTTTTTTTTAAAGATTTTATTTATTTATTTGAGAGAGAGAATGAGATAGAGAGCATGAGAGGGGGAAGGGTCAGAGGGAGAAGGAGACTCCCTGCTGAGCAGGGAGCCCGATGCGGGACTCGATCCCGGGACTCCAGGACCATGACCTGAGCCGAAGGCAGTCGCTTAACCGACTGAGCCACCCAGGCGCCCCTCACTCAATACTTTCAATGCTGGCCTGCAGCTTGGTAGGCAAACAACATTTCTGAAATAACTCAGCGGACGATGGGGTTCCGAAGCCCATCGGGAGAAGTCGTCGAGGAGGCAGAACCGCGCCCACTGAGGCGAAGGACATTTTATTTCCAAGGCAGACAAAAGTTGAGCCTGAAGATGCGGAGCGCCCCCCGGCCCACCCGTACTAGCGTCTGTGGGGCGCACGCCTCTCCTTCGGAGCCGGCGCCTGGCGGGGCCGCCACGTCATCCCCGCGGCGGCTGCGCGTGCGCGGAACGGGCGGGGAGACCACCCGGGGCGGAGGCGGGGCGAGCGACCGGATGCTGTCACCATAGAGACCGGGACTGACGGCGAGCGGAAGAGGAAGGCGCGGGCCGGGCTGTGAGGTGGCAGCGGCTGCGGCGGCGGAGCGGGCGCCTCGGCCGGGCACCGGGGTCTGTTTCCCCTTCCCCGCCCTTCCCCCTGCAGGGGCGACAGGGCCGCAGCCCCCGACGGCAGGAGCAGGTCCCACCCCACGCCCTCGCCCCTGCTCCCCAGGACGGCGCTGGCCGCATCGGCCACACCGGGCGGCGCATTACCGGTCCGCCGCCTCCCCTGGCCCTGCTGCAGGGCCTCCGCCTGTGGGACTCGGGTGTGCCTGCTGTCCCTCGCCCGCTGGCGCAGGCAGGGCCTTTGCCCCGCCGACGGGCCTGATAACGGCGTCTTTGCCTTCCTCGCCCAGCCGCGACCTCCATTCCCTCCGCGCGAACAAACCGAGCTGAGCCCCCCAGCCCCTCCTCGACAGTTCCGTGGCGCAGCCGGTTTTATTTCTGTTTTGAGACTAACAGCTAAAACTCGCGTTGGGCCTTCCTTCTAGGACTGGACTTGGTCTTTGATCGCTGAGAGGGAGAGCGGCGGCGCTCGTCCTGGCAGCGGTCACGTCCGAAGCCGGCCGGGCCTCCGTTTGCTTTCACAGGATCCCGGTGTCGTCTCAGCTGCTTCTCGTCCTCCCACTTTGGTTTGGCTTGGGTACCAGGGGTCCCGGTAAAACCAGACGCTGAACTGCTCTTACACGGCCAGAGTTACTGTCATTCGCTTCCTGTCTCCTCTCAGAAGAAGGTGGACGGCACCGGCCTCTGAGCAGCTGGGATTCGGAGAATTGCCCCGCAGCATGGTTCCATCAGCCGTTGTGCTCCTCTGAGAGGCTCTCAGTGCTGAGTCACGTCTCTGTCCGCCTCCTGTGGGTGGGCAGAACTGCGCACCATGGCAGAGGCTCTTGACCACTCTTGCCTGGGAGGAGGGGTTACTCTAGTAGCTGTGTGTTTCCTTAACACTCAGGAGTAGAGTAGAAAGAGGCCCTTAACCCTTCCCCCGTGCTGGCCTTCAGTAGCTAGTCTTCAATAGCTAGTCGGCAGCCCCTTCGGTGAACTGAGTGAGAACCGTGCCCTCAGCCAGGTGCTCTTTGAAAAAGGCCCACTGACGAAGGCTCTTGTTGAGGCTGTTACTTTGATGGAGTATGTGCTTTTCCCCAACCCTTTCTATATCAGCTGCTGCTGTATCGACTTAGATCCGGTCTACAGATGTGTGTAGTCCTTCATTTTGGGTTAGATTTGGCAGGATTAAGTTTTGTTCCCTCCTCTTTCTGGAAGACAGACCATAATCCCGTTCATGGGTGAAATTGACTCTAATATGTATTGCCATTTAGACTGAGGGTTAAATCTGGCACCTCGAGGACTGAAGCCCAGCCATACGCTTCCTGGGGATGCTGGGCCTGGAAGCAAGCACAGCTTGCTCTGTCGTTGACTTCACTGACCCTAGGTTTCCTGGTTAAAAACTGCAGGCCTACTATTGGCCTAATACCCATCCAACCTATTGATTGATCCTTCAAGCCGTGCCCTCTGGGGCATACGTATGGCAGGGCCTACCACCATGCGACTGAGCTCCCTGTTGGCTGTGCTTCGACCAGCACTGCCCCTCATCCTAGGGCTGTCTCTGGGATGCAGCCTGAGCCTCTTGCGGGTTTCCTGGATCCAGGGTGAGGGAGAAGATCCTTGTGTAGAAGCTGTGGGGGAACCAGGAGTGCCACATAATCCAGACTCAAGAACTGGACTCGACCAAAGTGATGAAGACTTCAAACCCCGGATTGTCCCTTACTACAGGGATCCCAACAAGCCCTATAAGAAGGTGCTCAGGTGAGAGCTGTGTGTGTACATGGTCCCCGGACCCCACTTACGCGCGGCTCTAAGGCCTTGCCTCTGCCTTCACTGGTGATCAGTGTTAGGCTCCTAGAACAATTCTTTGCCTTATTACCCATCATGGTTTGTTCCTATTTTTCCCTTCTCAGGTTTAAGAAAGTCTTGCCCGTTGGTGTTAAATTTGTGTTGGATGTTCTTAAACAGGGCAGGAATTGCATCTAACCGCCTAATCATCCAGTCCATCCTTAGTAGACCCCTCCTCAAGTGAATTCCAGTGTCAGTGGATGCTCACTGGAGTAGCTCATTAATATCAATGAGGAGGTCCCTCCTCTCTGCATTCCTAGAGCGACATATATGCTGGACAGACTGGGCTCCTAAAGATTAAGGAGTTGACCCTTGGCCTGTTGGTCCCTCCGCAGGACTCGGTATATCCAAACAGAGCTGGGCTCTCGGGAGCGGTTGCTGGTGGCTGTCCTGACCTCCAGGGCTACCCTGTCCACTCTGGCTGTGGCTGTCAACCGCACAGTGGCCCACCACTTCCCCCGATTACTGTACTTCACGGGGCAGCGAGGGGCGCGGACTCCTGCAGGAATGCAGGTGGTATCTCACGGGGACGAACGGCCAGCCTGGCTCATGTCAGAGACCCTGCGCCATCTCCACACACACTTTGGGGCCGACTACGACTGGTTCTTCATCATGCAGGATGACACGTATGTACAGGCCCCCCGCCTGGCAGCCCTTGCTGGCCACCTCAGCATCAACCAAGACCTGTACTTGGGCCGAGCCGAGGAGTTTATTGGCGCAGGCGAGCAGGCCCAGTACTGCCACGGGGGCTTTGGCTACCTGTTGTCACGGAGTCTCCTGCTTCGATTGCGGCCCCATCTGGACGGCTGCCGAGGAGACATTCTCAGTGCCCGTCCTGATGAGTGGCTTGGCCGCTGCCTCATCGACTCTCTGGGCATCGGCTGTGTCTCCCAGCACCAGGTGACAGCCCTTTCAAGTCCATCTCGGTCCCCGACAATTCGTAGTGACTGAGTGATTGGTCTCCAGGGTGGGTGCTGCTGGCTCCTTCCCAGCAGTGCGTTGGGGTTTTGTCCTTCCTAGCCACTGACCCTGGCTTAGAACCCTCGGGCTGTCAAAAGTGGCATCTTGTCAGGGACCCTCTGGGCAAGATAGAAAGGTGCCCCTACTCACCAGCTCCTCCCATCTGCCCCCCGTGCCCTTTGCCCCCTCCCCGGACACATGCACAGTCATAAACGATCTGGGAATGTCCTAGAGATGGCCACTGTCCTGGAGAAGTAAGGTAAACCAGAGTCGGGGAGCATTTTCTGGCTCATGGCTTTCATTCTCTTCAAACAGTGAGGTTCTTTGGGCAAAGAGGGCATCCTTAATTGCCTACTTCACATTCTTTTTTCCCAAGTCTGGTGAGAGTCAGGCCAAGCTTAAGGGGACACTGGAGTGAGCTCCTGTTCCCCCCCGCCGTTCTGTGGCAGCAACAGGGGTGAATGCGGAGTCCGGTTAGGGGTGGTGGGGACAGGCAGCCCTCCGTGCGTGGTTTTGATTGATCTGATTGGTCCCTTTAGGGGCAGCAGTATCGTTCATTTGAACTGGCCAAAAATAGGGACCCGGAGAAGGAGGGGAGCTCGGCTTTCCTGAGTGCCTTCGCAGTGCACCCCGTCTCCGAGGGAGCCCTCATGTACAGGCTGCATAAGCGCTTCAGTGCTCTGGAGCTGGAGCGGGCATACAGCGAGATAGAGCAACTGCAGGTGAGCCTGGGGCCGCGGATGGAGGTCAGCTCCCAGTGAGTGGGCAGCTGGGTGAGCGGGGAGGCTGACCACACCTAAGTGTAAACCTCTCCAAGGAGAAGGGGCCCATGGGCACCCAGGTCAATCGTAAGAGAAGCTCCTGGCCCGACCTGGATGGAGTTAAAAGGGTTTACAGGTGCACTATGAGGATTAGGGCTCAGTACAGCGCTTAGACACGATTGTTTTAGTGCCCCTCCACTGGGGACGCAGAAGCCTAGAAGTCCCTGGATTTCTAGCACTGTCCTTAAAAAGCCCAAGGGTAGACGTGGAAGAATGCTCCAGTGGATCGTGGCTGTGAGTGGTGGAATGCAGGTGAAAGCAAAGGTTCGGTCATGAAGAAGGTATACTGTGGGTATGGGAGAGAAAGGCTGCGGGGCTTTAACCTCTGCAAAAGCACATTTCCCACCTCTTCCTTCTCAGAGCAACTGTATAAGGTGTGTAGGATTCATATGCTTTCTGCATTTTACAGACACGAATGGAAAGGGGATGAAACGATTAGCCCGGGGGCACCTCACCACGTGTTGACAGAGTCAGGACAGAGCTCAGAACCCAGGACGCTAGAGCCGGGTCGGGCCCTGACTCCCGAGAGGGCCCTAACTGTGCGTCCCTCCCACCCTAGGCTCAGATCCAGAACCTGACCGTGCTGACCCCCGAGGGCGAGGCAGGGCTGAGCTGGCCCATCGGGCTCCCGGCCCCTTTCACGCCACACTCTCGATTTGAGGTGCTGGGCTGGGACTACTTCACAGAGCAGCATACCTTCTCCTGTGCAGACGGGTCCCCCAAGTGCCCACTGCAGGGGGCCAGCAGGGCCGATGTGGGTGACGCCGTGGAGACTGCTCTGGAGCAGCTGAATCGGCGCTACCAGCCCCGCCTGCGCTTTCAGAAGCAGCGGCTGCTCAACGGCTATCGGCGCTTCGACCCGGCGCGGGGCATGGAGTACACCCTGGACCTCCTGCTGGAAGCCGTGACGCAGCGCGGGCACCGGCGGGCCCTGGCCCGCAGGGTCAGCCTGCTGCGGCCGCTGAGCCGGGTGGAGATCCTGCCCATGCCCTACGTCACGGAGGCCACCCGCGTGCAGCTCGTGCTGCCACTCCCGGCGGCCGAGGCCGCCGCAGCCCTGGCTTTCCTGGAGGCCTTTGCGGCCGGCGTCCTGGAGCCACGAGACCACGCGCTGCTCACCCTGCTGCTGGTCTACGGACCCCGGGAAGGTGGCCGAGGGGCCCCAGACCCATTCGTTGGGGTGAAGGCGGCAGCGGCCGAGTTAGAGCGACGGTACCCGGGGACCAGGCTGGCCTGGCTCGCCGTGCGCGCAGAGGCCCCTTCCCAGGTGCGGCTCATGGACGTGGTCTCTAAGAAGCACCCCGTGGACACACTCTTCTTCCTCACCACCGTGTGGACCAGGCCCGGGCCCGAAGTCCTCAACCGTTGCCGAATGAACGCCATCTCTGGCTGGCAGGCCTTCTTCCCGGTGCATTTCCAGGAGTTCAACCCTGCCCTGGCACCACAGAGATCTCCGCCAGGGCCCCCGGGAGCCGGCCCTGACCCCCCGTCCCCTCCCGGTGCCGACCCTGCCCGGGGGGCTCCCGTAGGTGGCAGGTTTGACCGGCAGGCGTCCGCGGAGGGCTGCTTCTACAACGCCGACTACCTGGCGGCCCGAGCCCGGCTGGCCGGTGAACTGGCAGGCCAGGAAGAGGAGGAAGCCCTGGAGGGGCTGGAGGTGATGGATGTTTTCCTCCGGTTCTCAGGGCTCCACCTCTTCCGGGCCGTGGAGCCAGGGCTGGTGCAGAAGTTCTCCCTGCGGGACTGTAGCCCACGGCTCAGCGAGGAGCTCTACCACCGCTGCCGCCTCAGCAACCTGGAGGGGCTGGGGGGCCGGGCGCAGCTCGCCGTGGCGCTGTTTGAGCCCGAGCAGGCCAACAGCACCTAGCTCGGCCCGGGGCCCTGGCCCTCCGTGCGGCTCCCCTCTCGGCCGCGGCCCCGGCAGGGCAAGGCAAAACGGACGGACAGATGGAGAGCTTGTGCTGTATTTTTTTAATAAGATAAATGTTATTAAAAGTGTCTTCTGCCAAACTGTTTTTAGGTCTAGGGGAAACGGAGTAAAGAGAAGACTCTGAGGGAGGGGGTGGGCAGTCTTCCCAGAGGGACCCACCGCCTTCCCCTTGTCCTTCCTCCCCAGTTGCCAATGACACACAAGTCTGCTCTCAGATGCATGACCTTTAATCATTCCCCTGCCTCACCCAGAAGGTGGCAGAGGAGTGTGGCAGAGCCCCGGGGGGCCAGGGCCCGGGGCGCGGAGGCCCACAGTGGGCTCATTCGCGGGGGCTCCTAGGTGTTGCGTACAACCAGCGACTGCTCCAGCTCCTGCCTGCGCTGCTGGATCTTGAGGAAAATAAGAGCAGTAGCAGGGTTACGCTGTTGCTGGTGAGTGACAGGCCAGTCCCCACCACCCAGCCACCCTAGAAGAGCATCTGGGGGCAGGGAGGGCGCCTGCGCAGTGAGGGGGTTGGTGGAGCGGCAAGGGCCGCTGACAGGGCTGGGAAGGGAGGCTTCTCTGGGAGTTGGGGGGTGGGGAGGCCTGAGGTACACGGGCCCATCCACACCTTGCAGTAGAAATAGCGGCTGACGGCTTCCTGGGACCAGGGCTGGTGGTAGAACTCAGCCCGGCGCTCCTCCTCGGGATTGCCTGCCACATCTGTCATCACCTGGGAGGGAGCAGCGGGGTCAGCCCGGAGCCCGGACCCCCTCCAGCCCTTGTGTAACCACCTTTACTGTCTTCCCAATGTGTTTCTCTTCCATCCAGTGCTCCCTGCGTCCCCTTCACCTTGAGGTCCCGGCTCTGGGAGCGGAGCAGGTCTTGGATGTAGCCTTTGGGGTCTCTGGAGAAGCTTAGCATGAAGTCCCTCTGGATCTTGAGCTGGTTTATGGACTCAATCGTCTCATGGATCTACAGGTAGAAAAAAAGACGCTTTCACCTGGCCATGGTGATGTGGGAGAGAAGGGGAAGGAGGAGGGGGGCCAGCGGGCGAGGGGTTTGCTGCTGTTCCTTTGAAGGGCAATCCCTGGGGTCCAGGCCTGGAGAAGGGGGGATGGGCAGAGCTCTAAGTAGCAAGGGAAGGGCCACCTGCCCCCTTCATCTCTCCATAGGCCTGTGCTCTCATTTCTTATCTGTATTTTGTCATTTCGGGGTTAATGTCCCACTCCAGCTCTGGGCTCTGGCCCCACCTTACTGTCCAGAGCGCTGATCTCCTGCTGGTTGGCCGTGGACAGGAGGAAGCTGCTCATCTGTCCCTTCAGTGGCTCCTCTACCTCCACGTCAATATCATAGCACGCCGTCTTCTTCTGGTCCGACGGGTCCACGCTGCCAGGGAAGTCCAGCCCTTGGTATCCGCGCTGCTCCCACAGAGGCCAGAGGGTCCCAGGGGCAGATGCGGTGGTGGTGGGAGGGAACCAGGGGGTGGAGAGGGAGGGCAGAACTGCCATGATTCCCTGGTCTGAGGAGCAAGCTGGGGCCTCACCTGATGACGTGGTTGATGACAATAGGGTCAGGGGGCAATAGCAGAGCTGTGAGGCGCTGGGGAATCTCAGAAAACTTCAGCCGAGGGCAATCAAAAATCTGAAGCAGGAGAGAAAGAGACCAATCTCATCTGCTTGAAAAGAGTGTAACTATAGCCCTAGATCCTTCCGTTCTGGGACGGCCACAAGACGCCAAGAGCAAGTCTAACTCCTCAGTGCTGCTGGGCCGGGGACGTGGGTGTCGGTGGTGGAGTGAGGACAAGGACGTGGGCTGTGCGGTGCAGTGGTCGAAAGCACCAGCCCTGGGTCTGTGGCCGCCGAGGTGCAAATCCTGCCTCTTCCATTGACCCCACAACCTCGGGTCAGGCCCCTGAACTCTCAGGCCTCGGTTTCTTCAAGTGCAGAGTGGGGATGGTAACCACCAGGGTGGTTGGGAGAACTAAGTGGGTGAGCCCCCACTCGCTGCAACAGTGCCTGGCACACGGCAAGTGCTCAGTAAACACCCGCTGCTATTTGACTCCTCAGGTTTACCTGCCGTGTTTATTTAAACAGCTTTACGAATAATAATCTCTACTTTGGTGGAGTCTGGATCCAGGACTAGAACCCAGGGATCCCAACTCCCGAGTGCCAAGAATACTATGTTCCCCAAACTGTTGGCCTTTTAAGGTTCCAGATCTTTCTAAACTGCCCTGGCTAAAAGGGATGGGCTGCGGCGCGGAGCTACGCCACGGCTGGGCCTGCACTAGGACCCTGCTTACCATTTGTGATACCCAGGAATCTAGAAGTGGGGGAGGGGGTGTTGCCGTTAGTCGAGGCACCTCCCCTACTGGGACCTCTGCCGGCCCCCCACACCCCTGAGATCAGGGGAGAGGGTACCTGCTGGAAGTATTTGTCCCCATTGATGTATTCCTTGTCATGCGAGTCCTGCAGCCTGTTGGTCTTCACATACTGCCACAGGGCCTGCACGATGGCCGAGCGGCTCTGTGTGTGCAGTCCCAGCAGCCGAGCCAGGCGAGGATCCAGTTTGAACTGGGGAGGCTGGGAAAAGATGGCCGTGAAAGTAAAAGCGAGGGAGTGGGAAGAGCTCAGGGCCAGGCAGCTTGGGACTGGGGGACGTGATGACTGGGCTCCTGGGAACCATGCCTCTGGAGAAGGTGAGGTTGGGAGAGCATGGGGTCCCTCGGGGTGCCGAGGCCTGCCCGAAGAGCAAGGGGGGGGGGAGGGCCACGGACCTGGTAGTCCAGCATGAGGAGCAGTGTGCAGCGTACGCTCAGGTCCCCCGGCCTCTTCACCTGGAACCCGTCCGTCTCCTGGGTGGTGGGTGTCCGGTGCCACTGCCCAGGGGGAGGACAGCTGGGTCACCTCACAGGCCCATCTGGGCTGCTGGGCCCAGGGGCGCTCAGGTGCTCCCTGCTCCGGACTCCGTGCGGCTGAGGGACGGTGGTCTGTGGAAAGGTGGCCGTTCCCGGGCAGAAGAGGTCTGGCTCTTACCTCAACTAGGTGGTTGTCGGGGCCATAAAGGTCTTTGTCCAGCTCAATGACCAAACTCTTGAAGAAGGAAGAGAACTTCCGCTTCTGCTTGCTGGGCTGTGGGAGAGGGACAGGGACCGTGGGGGCAGGACAGGGACCGTGGGGGCAGGATGAGTTGGGGGCGGGTGGGGCTGGTTGGGTAGGGCAGCACGGTTAGAAGCAGGCCTCTGCACCTGGACTGTCTCTTCAGGCCGCCCACCCCTGGCCGGGGCTGACTCCCTAACCCATGGCGCAAACATCTCGTCTGTCCTCAGCTCAGCCCCATACCCACCCCAGGACACCTGGAGAGACCTGGGCCAGGACGTACGTCATCCAGGAGCTTCCCCTCCACCCGCAGCTCCCAGGAGGCAATGCTGCCATCAGAATCTTCAGCATCGGGCTTCGCAGGGTTAAAAGTATTGGAGATATAAAGACGCAGCTTCCGCTTTTGCTGTAGAAATAAAGAGTGTAGTACAGAGCCAACGCTGTGTGCTCCCATTCCCGGGGCAATCCCACTCCTCCATTCTTGGAACAGGACCGAGAGCCCTCTTCCTGCCCCCAAATCAAGACACCTTCATTGGCCTCTTTAGAGCCTCCTGGATGTCCACCCGCTTCCGCATGATGGTTTGATCCAGTTTCCTCTCAAATGCCAGGAGGTCCATATAAGCCTGGGACTCGGGGACCAGCTCCCGGATCTGGAAGAGAAGGAGCAAGACAGGGAACCAGGGGCTCAGCCAGTCTTGTAGGTGGAATGTGCGTGTCATGCGGTCCCAGGGTACAGAGAGCGTAGAGGGGAGCTGGCCAGGTTCTGGGCATGCAACTTTGGGAGTGCAAATGGGGACTTCTCCCCAGGACTGCGTATCCAGCAGAAAGGACCTCGACATGTAGGGATACACGCTGCTTCTCCCTCGAGGGAGAAGCATTTCATCACTAGGGGCGGCCGCAGCAGCCACGGAGCCCAGCAACTAGGGCTTCACCTCCTCATCTTGTCCTTGCCCTTGTCACATGGCCTCTGGACCTTCCTGGGGTGTCTGCAAAGTGCCTGGGACCCTGGGGTGCCTGAGACAGAGGGTGTCGCTGCTTGCCTCTACCCTGCCACCCCACCTTGTCGCTCCACCTGACGTCTCAGCTGTACCACGCCCCACGCCTAGCTTGGCCTGGGTTCACTTATGACATCCAGGCCTTCCGGCCAGCCTCAGTTCCCTTCACTCCCCCTGCCAGCCTTTGGTCCCCTAGCTCTCGTGCCCTCTTTGTCCCACACCTGTATTCATGTCTGCGGGCTGCTGGAGCTCAGTCCACTGCACCCCGGGCCCAGTACCCTACCTCTTCCGGCTCCGCTCCTTCCCTCTGCCCCACCCCCTCCCTCTGGCCCGGGAGCCCCACTTCTTAATTAGCTTTTTAAACAAAAAGTGAAAGTGGCTGTGACGCTGAAGCTCTGCTCCTAAGGGGGGAGGGGAAGCGGCCCAGGGTGGGGGGGTGGGGGGGGAGAGGAGGCAGAGCAGCGAAGGGTGGGGGGTGGGCTGGGGGGCTGCTGTGAAAGGCACTCACCCTTTGAGGGAGGATTTTGTCAGCCATCTTCCTCCTCTTGGCACTGTACATTTTTTAAAGAAAAAACCAGGTTACCATGGCGACAGATCTGGGAGTAACGAGGCCACCTGCTAAATTATCCCGACATCTCCACCCGCCTGGCTGGGGTTCCCACAGCCCGCTTGTCTGCCCGCCCAAGGGGCTACGGCAGTGCTGTCTGGCATGGTGCTCCGTCCTCTTGTGGGGAGCAGATGTGGCCCCGTCCTTTCTCTAGCCCGGGAGCCCCTTTCCACCCCCACCATATCCTCAGGCCAGAGAAATTTAGACTTGGGGGGGGTGGGGAAGCTGCAAAAGTGTTTGAGAAAAGCTAGGGAGGGGGAGGACAGGAGAGGGAGGAGGGATTCTGAGGACTTTCCCTTTCTGTTAAGCAGGGGTGCACAGCCCAAGGTGGCCTGAGCTCAGAGGGAGGGGAGCCGTGTCAGACACCCTCTGCCATCCCTGGAGCAGGGGGGTGATGGGTGAAGCCGGTGAGGACTTGCACCCCCGGCACCCTGGACTTGGAAGGGGATGCTGAAAGGCCCTCGGATCACCTGCCAACAGAGTCCAGAAACACACCCAGAGGGATCCAGAGAGAGGGTTCTCCTGTGGGGTGTGACTGCAGGCTGGATTTGGGGTGGCAGCTGGGACCTGGACTCTTCTTGACCCGCTAGCTGCTTCTGACTCCCAAAAGCACCCCCAGAAAATCCTTGGCAAGTTGAGATTAGAACCCAGCCTGGAGGATGGCTCTGTACCATCCCTGTGTGGTGATAACCACTGCCCCCTCCCTTCCAAAAGCCTATTCTAAGGCTAGGTAAGCACCTTTCATTAAAGGTCTGATTTGTTTTGAAGAAATTACCTATGTGAAACTCTCCATTTATACAAGACAAATCGGGAACTTGTTTACTGTATAAAAGGATGATTCACTTTGCAAAAGAATTCATCATAGGATTCCTATAAATGGTGAATTTTCCTTGATGTGTAAAAAATATTTAATAATGAGGTAAAATCCATATTACTCCTTTTATAGGACTCCATCTGGTGTGCAAAGGGAAGCATGTGTGTTTGGTTCAATAGTGAAACCCAGAGGGGCATCTCTCTTGCCAGACACCAGCAGGGGCTTTTGGGGTGCCACCAGCTGGCTCAGACGGGGAGACGGGCTGGTCCCTGGTGGCTGTGGGGCAGACCTGGTCCCGAGGACAGATTATGGCAACTCTTCAACCTCTGAGTGCCTAGGAATCACCTGAGAGCAGGACTGTGCAGGAGACCACCCACAGGGCAAATCCCCAGGCTCCACCCCCCTGGCCAGAGAGTCAGATTGAGAATATCTGGAGTGGGGCTTTTAAAGAGTCAAGCCAGGGTACTGAGGACGGTGCACTGGACAGCCACACTTGAAGAAACACAGTCCCTAAAGCTCAGCCCTCGGTCCTACCGCCAGCCCCACCCCCACCCCAAAGACTGAAGCATCTCCCAGAACCTGGGGACAAGGGGGGAGAGAAGGACCGAGCAGGTGACAAGGACAAGGGCGCGACGGCCGCAGCTTCGGTCTCCACGGTGGGCACACAAAGGAACCAGACCAGTGCCCCCTCGGCCCACCTCCCCAGAGGGCATCCCACCCAGGACGGCTCGTTCCTTGCTGATCCTTCTTCCTCGCTCCTTCCAATCTCGCTCCTCACCCACCCCGTCCCTGGGGTCCCGTGGCCCGCCCCCCGTCCGCGCTGGGCCTCACTCACCTGCGGCTCCGCGCGGGGGCGGTGGGCACCGGCTGGCCCTGGCTCTGGGCCTGGCTCTGGCCGGGCGGGGGCGCTGCTCGCTTGCGGGCGGGCTCCATGCCCGCGGGGGCCAGGCCGGGTCGCACGGCGGGGCTGCCCATGTACGGGGAGCCCGGGGGGCCCATGGGCGCCCCCTGGTGGGGCATCCGGGCTCCAGACGGCATCCCGGGGCGCTGGTGGGGGGGCGGGGGCGGGGGCGGAGGTGAAGCAGAAAACTGGCGCCCGCCCGTCAGACCAGGGCCCCGGTTCCAGGCGCGGCGAGCCGCGTCTCTCCCACCCCACGCCCCCCGGCCGGTGACCCTGATGCCGCCAGCGTGAGCGAGGGGTGGGAGGGGCAGGGGCGCTGCAACCGCGCGGCGTGGCGCAGGGGGCTTTGCGTCTCGCTGCAGGAAGCTAACTGAAGCCAGGCAACTGCACTGGGCATCGCCAGCCTCGGATTTGCGGAAGGTACCGCGAAAATGAATATTAATGGCGCCTTTCAACCTTTTCAAAGGATGTTCACATCCACATGCTCATCTGCGAGACAGACTGAGGGGGTCTTTCCAACCCCACTTGACAGATGAGGCAACCGTGGCTCAAGGAGAAAAGCGACCTAGCCAAGGTCACGCAGCTCCTCCTGGCAAAGGCAGCACTGAACCGCCGTTTCCTGAGGGGCCAGGACCGTTTGCTCTCTGCAGCTTCATCTGGGTTAGAGGCCCAGCTCCCTGCTAGGACTTCTGCCTCTTTCCACTCCTTGCTTCTCAGTCCACTTCCTGGGCTGTCTTGCCGTGCACTTGCCCTCCCCACCTTAACCCGCCCTTCTCTCTGGGCCCCTGCTTTTGACCCCTCAGCTCCAACCACACCCCCTTTGGCTGATTCCAAACCTCCACACCCAGGGGCTCTGACGACTTAGCCCCCCCCCCCCCCCATTTGCTCCTAAGGTGAAGGCTGGAGGCAGCAGGAGCTGGTGAGGTCACCCTCTACCAGGATTCTTTGACAGGACAGGAGGCAGCTGGGCTGGAGGTGGGCTGCCCAGAGTGCTTGGAGAGCTCAAAGGCGGCGGCTTTTCCTTTCCATCCATTTCTCCCTTCCTGTCCGCCTCCAGAACTCCTTCACTTCCCACCCCGCCCCAGTGAGGTAGGAAGTCAGGGCTCAAAGGGGGCCGTGGAGAGCGAGATGAGGCAGGTGTGCTCCCCTGCCACCTCAGATGGGATGTAGAGGAGATGCAAATCCACTGAGTGAAGTGTTTCACAGACTTTTAAAACCCCACTTGTCCAGATTCCAGAACAGGGATTGGGGAAGGCCAGAGAGGCTGTAAAGTGGAGGGTGGGTGGGAAGGGGACAAAGCGAGCAGGAAGGGGATTAGGGAGCAAGGGATGCACCCCCAGTGTCCCTGTTACCTTTTACACGCTACCCACTTTGCCCCCTAGAGTGCAGATGCCCCCTGGCACAAGGAGGAGCCCTGAGCCGAGCTGGGTGACCAACTCTCCCTCCTATCCCTCTTGCCCTGTACTAGGTCTAACCCTAACTCCCAGCCAGCCAGCTGTCTCTGTCCATCTCTCCCACAGTGAAAACTGCCCGTCCATTTGTCTGCCTCCCCCACCCCACCTGACCCTGTCACTCATATCTCCAGAGTGGTGGCCCAGAATGGAGCCTAGGCCCAGCCCCACCAGTACAGATAGGGTACTGGGAGTGAAGCGGTGGGACTCGCAGCCACCCAAGAACCGAAGCTCTAAGTTGGCCAAATTAAAAACAAAAACAAAAACAAAACCCCCCACATGTATAGCCCCCTCCCTCCCCTAGATGGGCCTTTTTAAAGGGACTTCACCCAACAGCGTGGTTCAGACTGGCAACTTGGCTGACTGACGTGGGCACCCCTGGGAACTTGCCTCAGAGATCTCTGGGACTGGAGGACAGGCTGCCCCAGGGAAGCCCCTTTACCCAATCAGCTGCTCTCCCATTTTTCAAGGCCAGCGATACTTGCTGATCTGCTGAAGAAGCCCCGAGAGAGAAGCTTCCAGAGCCCCCAGAGGGCTGTGCCAGCTACTGGGACCACCCCAACGAAGGGCCAAGATTCTAGGGACTCTGGCCTCCCTCGCTGAGAACGTGCCTTCTTTGGGGTCACAACCAAATTTGGCCATAGTCAACTTGACTGCCTCCTCTG